TATTAATAAACATGAAATTAATGATTTCAAGAAAAAAGAAATAAGGAATTTAAATTTCTAATATATCTTATTGACATATTACATATAGGCCTTTTGCCAATATAAAAATAAAAATTTTAGAGATAATACACTTTGAGAATTTCCATTACAATTTATTTTCTAAATTATTTATTTTTTGATTTTAAGGTATGTAATAAGCATTTTAACAATAGAACAGATCTGTAAGTGATTGCTAAATAAATAGAAAAATCAAAAAAGTAATTGTTGCTTTAATGACAATGCTATCTTAAAAATATGATTATTAATTCTTTTTAGGTTATTTTAATAACTTGTCAATAACAGACTGTTTTTTGTATATTTATTAGATGGATAACCTAGTTAAAGTCGAGTATATTTATATAATCTAAATTATTTCTATTTTTAGAGAGTTCATAAAGGAAAAAAGAAGGTATCAAAGTTGCAAGTAAAAGTAGAATTGGAAAAATTAATCGTTACATCCAAATTTGTTGATAACTAATATAATACTTATAAGTAAATCTGCCAAAATCCATTTACATTCTAATATTTAACGATAAGAGATAAGTGATACAAATCTTATGATCAAACTTGATTATAAGTAAATGTGTAGTCTTATTAATTATGATATATAAATATAAGTAGTTGAAATAACACCTAGCTTTAGTACTATCATTTATAACTGTAATCTAATCGATTCAGGCAATTCATTATCAAGAATTGTAAATTATGTTTTGATGATAATTTTATTATTTGTTGATTTTCTTGTTCCAGTCTTAATATTAGGAATGAATTATATTCATTAATTAGATTATATTTCTGTAAACTTTTCAAATGGTTAAATAATGTGCATCGCACATATGGAAGTGCAACTGGTATTTTATCGGAGGGTCCAAGTTCGATTCTTGGTGCACACAATTTTATTTTTTTTTAATGTTATTTCTAAATCATATTTTGAGTAATAGATGAATTAATTATATTATTTATTTATTTCATTCTTTCAATATTTCATTAGGCTCATACCTATTTTCATCATTTTTAGAATTTGCATTAATTTTATGGAGGTTTTAGAGATTTCCAATAATACAAATATATACAGTAATAACTAATAGGGCTACTTCAAAAAACTTTTTAAATCATTTCTTTTTTTTTGGCTAATATCTCAAAAATATATTCACATCAGATTAATTTCTATTTCTTATTAAATATTGAACTGTTTCCTTTTTAATTAAAACTTTACATAATTACTTTTTATTATAAAGAATTTTAATTATACTCTTTGAATAAAATATATTTTTATAATATTTGCTGTTTAAAGCTAAAAAATATAATTAAACAAGAACCAAACCTTTGATAATCAATTTTGATTTTAAAATGAATATTATATTTGTTCTGATTGGTATTTGCCCAAATTAATTAATTCTTGCATTCAAAATTGATAAGTTAAGTATATGAACATCTAATCTAATAATAATAATCGATAAAGTGATGTCGAAAGTATTCTTATTCTATTAATTATTAGGCTAAGATATAAAAATTATTAGTTGATCTTAAATAAATAATATTAGTTTAAATCAAAATGAAAAATTCATAAGAATAATTTTTGTTATCAGTTTAAAATTAATTTATTATTGATTTATATTATTCTTTAAAATTTAAATTATAAAATTTATATAGTTAGTGTTTGCCTAAGAAGAAACATTTGTGAAAAAATAAATTCAGTGATTATTTCAACTATGATTTGATTTTCGAATCTTTTCTCTTAAAAAAGAATGATTAAAAAAGTGACTCCAATCATAAATTCTTGATAAACTTTTATTAAAAAAGATGGTTATTAATCAAAAAATAAAAATCAACCTTGAATATGTATTAAGTGATTTTCAATAATATCTCATTATATTAATAATAATTTTTCTTAAATTCCAATATTTTAATTGCACCTAGATTTCAATATTTTCCTATAAATATATAGGCCCCTTCTTATTGTTATTATTTTATATTGTTAATATTGTCTATTTAAGCCCATTTTTCTTCTATATTTCAAATATTGTCTTTTGGTAAATTTAAACTTCTAAAATTTAAAAGTAAGTCTAGATTAATTTATTATTGGATTAGAGATATGTATATCATTTATAAATCTTTATATATTATTTGAATATTTAAGTGGCTATTTATTTTAATAGAAAACTAACATTATTTATATATATTATATTTATTATTTATCTTCTACCTCAAAACCAATAAAACTGTATTATTATGTTATTCTTCATAAGATAAAAAGAACTTATTCAGTTAATAAAAATTTTATCCTTACTTAGGCAATTTGGTTTCTGATGATCAATTTATATAAAAATTATTAAATATAATGAACTAATAATGTATAGGATAATAGGAGGAAATGGAATAGAAAGAGAGCAGTTTTGGTAAAGTTCTTAAAGTAGATGGACCATGTAAATAGTTTCTTTTAATTTAATAGTAATTTTTGTTGAGGAAATGGATGGAGCAGAAATGTTTGAGATAGTAAAGGTAGGATAGAAAAGATTAGTTGGAGAGATTATTAAATTAGATAAGAACATTTCATATATATAATGTTTTGAAGATACATGTAAATCGAGTATTTATACATAAGCTAGTTTAAGTGTTGGGGATTGTGTAATGAGAACAAAATCTCCTTTTTTAGTTGAATTAGGGCCAGGTAGATAGTGTCTATTTATATAGGTATTTAAACATATCCGTTTGATGGAATTTAGAGAAGATTATAATGGAATGAAAACTAATTTAATATTTCAAACAATATTACAGGATTGGATTAAGATAGAATTTGGGAATTTAAACCGTCTTCAAAAATAAAGGAAGGTATGATGATTTTTGGTGGTGATATATATGGATCAGTATTTGAAAATAATTTGTTTGAAGACCATAAAATTTTAACTTCACCTAAAGTTCAAGGCAGAGTTTGTTATATTGCACCTGAAGGCAATTATACTTTAAAAGATAAGGTCTTGGAGATTGAATTGAATGGAATAAAACAACAATATGGAATGAGTCATTTTTGGCCTATGAGAGAATCACGACCCATATTAGAAAAATTATAATGTAACACACCCTTTCTAACCGATATAAGAGTTCTTGATGTACTTTATCCAACAGTTTTCGGAGGTACTTGTTGTGCCTCAATGAGTTCTCTTGGTGGAAAGTTATTTTTATCTAAAGCTTTAACTAAGTATTCTAAATCAGATTGCCATATTTATGTTGGATCAGGAGAAAGTGAATCTGATATTGTTTCGATTATTGAGGAATTGAAAGAGGAAACTCTATTAAAAAAAGATAAAGAGGAAATGATTTTATAACATCTTTCTCTAATCGCTAATTCTTCTAAAATGCCAACTCCGACTATTGAAGTTTCAATTTACACAGGACTTACCATTGCTGAATATTATAGAGATATGGGTTTGAATGTATCTTTAATGATGGATTCTGTAACTTAATGGGCTAGAGCTGTAAATGATATTTAAATGAGAATTGGAGATATGAATAATTAAGAGGAATATCCACCAATTTTGTCATAAAAATTAACATAAATTTATTAAAGGGCAGGATAGATTAAGTGCAGAGGTTCACCTGATAGAGAAGGATCTATTACTTTTGTTGGAAATGTCATGCAATCAGAAGTATAGTTTAATTATTTTTAGAAACATAATGATCCTGTTACTATTGAAACTATAAACAATTCTTAAGTTTTTTGGTTATTGGACAAAAGACTATCATAAAGAAAACATTTTCCACATCTTAACTGGATATTGTCAAATACCAAATATGAATAATAATTAGAGTCATACTTTAATTCCTTAAATCCTAAATTCTAACATTTAAAAACTGTGTTAAAATAAATTTTAAATTAAGAGGAACAAATGATTCAATAAGAAGCAAAAGATCTTTCAGAAGATTAAAAACTAACTTTAGAAGTGAAATCTTTTTTATTTATATTTTAGATTGCCTTGATGATTAGAGAAGATTTCTTACAATAAGATACATTCAGTTAATATGATGATCATTGTCCTCTTTATAAAACAATAAGTATGATGAAATGCTTTGTTATATTTTATCAATTGGCTAAATAAGCTATTCTTAAATCTACTGAAGATAATATCATTACTTGGAGCATTATTAAAAATATTGCTAATAAATTAATGTACAAATTGCATGTAATGAAGTTTTATGTATTTATTTATTATTAAATTTATTTCAGGATCTAAAAAATCCCTAATAAGAATTAATAGATTATTTCAATAATCTTGCTGATGAAATTGAATCAACTTTTAAAGATATAATAGATAAATGAGTATTAATAAATTTTATAAATATATTTTTCTTAAGAGGGATAAAATATTGTTTTTTTTAGGTTAAGACTCTAATATATCGATTAACAATTCAATTAATATTAATTATATCATGTTTTTAAATATCTCTGTTAAGATTAATAAAATTTATGACATCTAATTGCTTTTAAAAAAATATCTAATATACATTCTTTAAATAATTTAAAGGTTCCTTTATTAAGATTCAATTTCATCATTTTATTATCATAGAGGGTTTTTTCGTTTTCTTTTAAGTTCAATAAAATTTGACTAAGCTTTCCTCTGTTATAAAATCAGCAGTTTTAATTCATTATTTAATTCAAATTCATCTCCTTTCTTAATTCCTGTTCTATTTTAGACCCATTTTATAAAAATCACGTGAGGTAATTCAAAAAAGTCGATATCAATAATAATTAAAATGAAAAAATAGTACAATAAACATTATAGAAATGTACTTGAATATTTTTTTCATTCTAATTAGATTTTAGCTTTAAAAAAAATAAATTAAATCAGGATTCTTAGAAAAATCATTAACTTCCTCATTCACTGTCTACTTTTTTAAAAATTCAAATATTCATGTAATATTGTTCATTAAATATTAAAACAGCTATTTGATTTAATAATGCTTAAAAATAAAATTCTAAAACTTCATCAAAATATTCTTATGCTTAATTAAATATTTAGTTTGGCCAATAAAATATAATTAAATAATAAATTTTATTTTAATTCATTTGATTATTCAAAATATATACGATAAATTATATTAAACCAAATTCAAAACTTTCATTTTATCAAGTTTATAATAATTTCGTAATTCAACTTTTTAATGTCTAATTGGATTTCCTTTATTGGCAATTGTGTCAATCGTTGAAAAAGAATTGATTTATTTTTATTTTTGAAAATCAAAGCTAGACTCATTTAAATACTTTTTAAATTAAATCAAGATATTTAATAATGATTATTTTATTTAAAAGGTTCTTAAATTATTTATGGATCTTTTCAGTTATTTTCAATTTTAAGATAAACTTTTTAATTTTATATTAATTTTGTTGATTAAGCTAGTAATACTTCCTATTAAATGGCTCATAATTTAAATTGTTATTGATCTGATGGTATATAAATTCAAATAATCTACTCAAAGATAATTATAATCTTGATGTCAACAATTACTTGTAAGATAAAAACCTTACACTGGTTAAATAAGCTCTGTTACCATATTTTAATTACCATAGAATGTGAAAGTAAAAAGCTGAATAATCAACCTATAATCTTTGGCTTTAAATTATTCTTATATATATTGATATTTCTTTTGAAGTACATTAATATAGATTTACTTCAATAAATACAGAATGCTTGTCTTGAAATTTATTCACTTGATTTTCATGTATTTATGATTTAGATATGAATCAAAAAGGTTTTGGAAACCAATAGATGATTAATAAAAAAAAGACTAAAAGCTCAAAGAAAATTAACCAAATAAAAAAAATTACTTACTATTATTTCAAAAAATTAAATAAAAAATAGACCTTATTGATTAAATTTATATTTGAATCTATTCTATTCTAAATTCAATGAATAACATATTAAATTATCAACATGAATTATTAATTACGATAATTCCTGGATAATCTGTCTTATTAACAGCAAAAAGATATGAATAAATTCATAAATTATAAATAATATAATTTTAATAGTATTGATCGCATTTTAATTCATATAATTTTATTATTTTGGCATGATTCTTATCACTAATTTAATATTATCACATTTACTAATTCTATAAAGTAAAAATTTTATGTTGTATCAATTGGATATATATTGAATTTCAAAAATAAATGAGAAATCTTTTTTTATTTTTGAATCTCTCTATTCCATCGTATTTATGTTAAATATTTTGTTATAGAGATGATTAATAAAATTTAAAGATCAACTTAAGATTGGAAAACTCATTTGACACAAATCTTTGATTATTATGATAATTTCTTAAATGAAAAAATATATAATAAGGTTTAATAATTCATTTGAGAAAAATAATCTTAGAATTTCATTATTAATTATAACTGAGAAGTCATAAAGAAATGTGAATCTTTAATCTGGATGACTAAAAATATCAACAAAGATTTTGATTTTAAAATTTAACATTAAACTTCAATTAAATTTAATATCAACTAACATAGAATAAAAAGTAGTTTAAAAATTTGAAGTTTATTTAATAAATTATATATTTAACCTTTTAATAATTTGTCTATATGAATAAAAATCATTTCTATATTTTCATGATATAATTTTTTAAAAGTTTATTATAACCTTATTGGCTTCATCAATAGATAACATTAGATAAGACTGATGGAAATGTTGAGTTTTTCTAATTTTGTTAAAAATTGAAAACAAGGTAATTGCATTTTGATCCTTCGAAAAGCAATTTTAATTCAGATATAAAAGTTATATAAAGAGCCTAGTGATAACAGAAAATTTATTAATTTCAATAATATTTTGAGAAATCTCTCAAACTTTCATAAGTTTTAATTTAATTCAATTTGCCATAAATTGAATAAATTAGATAAAAAGAAGAAAACTTTTTTTTAACTAGATTAGAAATAAATTCTCGTATATCTTGTGGAAATGATAAATTAATCTTGAAGAATAATTATTGTTGGTGAATCTAATTTTTAAAGTTAGAATATTAATTTAAAAATCAATATTTTCTTTCATAAATTTCAATTTACTTTTCAGAATAATAATATACTTTGGAATTTTATGCAATCTATTGGATTAATTAAAAGTATGGTAAAAATTATAAAAATTCCTCTATTTCTAAATTCTTCAGACTATTACACTATCCAAGGAAATTATGAAGCAGGCAAAGGATTTGTCTTTAAATTAGATTAATATTATCAAATATTAAACTTTACTTTAAATAAGTGCATGAAAATAATAGAAAACGGAACAATCCTTAGACTAGAATATAATGTTGTTTGGTATTTAAATCATAATATAATTTAATTTAAAGGGAAAAAGGAAACATAAGACGCTTAAATCATTTTAAATTATTTTTATTGATATCTATATTAACCTATATTTATTTTATTTTTAATAAATCATTTTTTCATATATTAATAATCTATAGGGTCTGAAATTATTAGAATCATTCAATAACTCTAGTCATAAATTTGCTAAAATTTTCTACCATTCTGATTTAGGAAGATTATCCCAATTCATATTCAAATTATGGTCGAAATCATCAAAAGAAAACGTAATCCTTTATTTTTGATTTTCAAAAAACAATTCCATAATTCTAATTACCCCTTTCAAAAATGAAAATCTTTAAAGCCAAATTTGGTTATACTTTTATTATCTTTTATCTTAAATATAGTAATAATGCTTTACTGCTTTACATCTAAAATTTCAATTACAGATATTTTTATTTGATATTGTTGTATATATTCTTTAAACTTTGTCATTTCCTTTATCTGTTGTTCTGAATTATAAACACTTTTAATTTTGGCCATATATTTCTATTATAGAATAAAACCCTAAAGAGTTTTATTTTTAGGCCAAGAATAGTTCATTGTTTAATCTCTTAGCGAAAATTCTCATCAAAAAAGCATAAGTTCAGGAATATTTTATTTAATCTTTTAATTAATTATCTAAACTCTTAATCAAACTTTATAATCCTTTTTAAAACGCTTTTATTTAATTAAAAACTAACTCATTTACCTAATTTTTTTTTGACTAAATAAATTCTTAACTCTATTATTATTAGTCATTATCCATAGTCTATTCATTTTAGCGATGATATTAATGATTGGTTATCACTTTTAGCTTTATTTATTTTACATCATTAATATAAATGAAAAATTATGATGGAATTAGCAAATATTTACGATATTGAATCTAATTATTTAAAAACATTTTAATAATAATCAATATGAGCTATTTAAAAAATAGTAATTAGTTTTAAATATTATTAATTTTGCAGAATAAAATAATATTTAATAGATTGACAAATAAATTTTATAATTTATATATTATTTATTTTTGGGGTCTTAAAGTCATAATCAAATTTATTTTTGGTCATTTTTTAATAACCTAAGCTTTAGAGCATTTAATGAAGTTGAATTTAGTAGAACATTGATTAAAAGATTAAAAATTTAAATTAAGAACAGATGAATCAGTTGCTAAATTTATTTTAAGATTGAAATAAAGAAAAATTAATTATAATTAAATAATGAATCAAAATAGTAACAAATTAGAATAAGTTTTTTTAATTAAAAAACTAATAAATTCTGATTAATGAAAAATAAAATAATGAAAAATAGTAATAATACTTTTGGCCTCTAAGCTGGATATTTATAAATAAAGGATGTTAAATATAATTATTTATTGAATAATTGAGAATTAGTAAAAGGAATGTGTATAATAGTCAATAAAAAAAGTTCTCAAAATCACTTCAATTTAACATGCTTAATAAATATGAAAAAATAATTAAAATACATAGTCTTAAAGTTATTTCATAATTAGAAGGTACTTGCCAAATAAAAATAAACAAATCTTTTTATTTCCAAATGAATTTAAAGTTGATTAATTTGATAAAAAATATTTTATATAGTCTTTTTGAAAATGATCAAAATTATGTTGAAATAACTTAAAATGAATGTGTAAGAAAAGTTAAGTAGTACAAAGATAGTTTTAGTTATGGTATTAGATTTATGTTTGAATAGTTTAGAGTATAATTTTTATTTTAATAGTAATACGAATTAGTTTATTCAGGTGATAAATGTCTGATGGCTACAATTATTTCTTTTAAATAAAATGGATTATTTATCTTTTGAATAAGCATATTTTGCTCTATTAAATTGTTAAAATCTTCAATGTTCTATTTGTAATATAGTCTAGCAATTGGGTTAGTGATTTGAGATTAAATTGATAATAAATCTATTATTTTTTTCATATTCTTTAATTAAAGTAGAATTGCTAAAAAAAC